TCCTCGAATGATCGGTGCTCTGCATTGAATCTTAGCCAGAGCCGGCCCTGCCTTTCTCGCCACCTTTTTCGTTTTGGCCAGGGCATCTCCCCCCACCGTGCCATCTCCCTTCATTTTACCAGGTGATCCTCCGCACCTGGAGAGCTCCCCGCCCCCTCCGCTGGGGCCTGTGCGCACCAACCCTCCGAAGAGAGTCCATGCGCACGTCTCACGGGACGCTCCCCCCCGGATCACAGAGTGCCGCCCTCCGTGGCCCGGGCCGGTGCCTCATAGGACCTCATGACAAGCTCGACTTCATACCTAGGTAATCCGCCTTGCTTGTGGTTCGAGAGCCAGTTCCTCCTCTCCCCATTTTCCCAGGTGATCCTCCGCACCTGGAGAGCTCCCCGCCCCCTCCGCTGGGGCCTGTGCGCACCAACCCTCAGAAGAGAGTCCATGCGCACGTCTCACGGGACGCTCCCCCCCGGATCACAGAGTGCCGCCCTCCGTGGCCCGGGCCGGTGCCTCATAGGACCTCATGACAAGCTCGACTTCATACCCAAATATCCGGCATTCGGGCCCCAGCATGCCCCGCCTTCACAGCGCTCGTCCCCTTGTCCGGCCAAGCTTGACCACCGAAACATCCATCCGAGCAAGCTGACTTGGCAATCGCCTTGCGTTGATTGCCGTGTCTGACACGTGCGTATCGGCTGGTTCCAGAGCGCCACCGAACACCGTGGTGGACTTTCGAGCTCCTTTCCCAATCGACCCACTGTCGTAATAAGCCGGGTTTCATGGGCCAGAGGGGCATCCTCTATAGGTCCAATTCCCCATCTCGGCTCTGACCACTGCCGCTGACCGGTTTGTGCCCGCCGCCTACTATACAGGAAGTAGGATGCACCGAACCGATCGCCTACCGCACTGGTAGGTTTGCTTAAGAAGTGGCCCCTCACGCGTCAGCAAACAGCATTGCTCCTCAAGATGCTCCGAGGTTGGGCAAGCCCGTCCAAGAAGAGTCATCACACTGATCGTCGGGACAAGCCAACCCGATCCCATCACAGTCTCATTTCTTGACAATTCCAAGAGAGCTCCGTGCTAGTGCCTAGGTGGTTTTTATGCCACCTAGGACGCAAGCACATCCTTCTCAAGGCCGTACAGCAAGTGGGACATACCTCCCTTCGTTACTTCGGCTGGTTGCCTTGCACCGATTCAACCACCTCCGCATAAAGCTGGATAGCCGGGATTCGGGCCCCAGTGGCCGTTTGGCTCAGTTCGGTATGCCCCTCTTACGTATCGGGCTCAGATATGGTACTCGACAACGCTTGCTTTACTCCGTTCCACCAGTGTCCCAGTATCCGCCAGCTAGGCCCAGGGTACCCGACTTGGGCTCCATCTTGTCTTTTAGGGGCATGACCAAGGGCAACATCAACCCTTTTTCCATACTCTTAGCGCCTTCCCCTTTTTTGTGTGGTGCTCGTTTATTAGATTATGGGTACGGGACTTTAACATGCCACACACTGGCTTCCAGTTTGAGCAAGCGATGCCTTTCACGTATCCGAGTGGCTAAGGAGACGGGCTTCCTCAACCTCCACAACGAGATGTGAGTGGGCTGTGTTTCTCTACCGAGCGCTACAGACCGAGGCCTCACGCTCAAACCAGAGAAACAACCAGCACAGAACCCGGCGTTGCCACCGAGCCATCCCATTGCAGCCACGATAAGATACGAGTTGGGTTACATCTACCGAGTGCGACAAACCGAAGTCTGACACTCAAACCAGAGGCACTACCAACCCAGACTCGACATTGCGGTCGAGCCATCTCATCGTGAGTGGAAAGACACGATGCTAGAGACATCCACCGTAACTGAAATAGTCCGGCGATTTCTCCCATGCACCACGAAAGCATTAACTCCCACGTGGCATCACCATGCTTCCGATTGTCATTCCACGTTAAGAAAACTCTAGGACACACCGTCCTTGACCTACTAACATGTTCAGGTACCCGTGCATCGTCCTGCGTCCGACCGAGATCGTCCACAGTCAACATGGGTCTCATTCCAGGTTTTTGGCCTCAAGTGAGCTTCGAGCTTTCCCCCTGAAAAAGAGTCGACCGTCTCAACCACTGCATATGAGTTTTGCAAGTTGCACCGACATCAACTTCTTTATGGCAGTGGTTGAGCACCCAGTTGGTTCAGACCCCTTGCGAGGAGTGATCCGATTGGGTTCTCCTCTTTTTCCCTGGTTCCAATAAGCCTGAATCCTACCCTCCCCAACCCATGGGTCAATGACGCCGCCTCGCAACGAGGGGGGGCCACCTAGCCATAGGCGGATTGGGATACGAAACCGACCGCATATTACCAGTGTCAAGAAGTTTGTAGGGACCGAGCGGACCCAAAGAGTAACCTTCCTCCTTGGGTATTCCACCTTGCTTGTGGTTCGAGGGCCAGTTCCTCCTCTCCCCATTTTACCAGGCGATCCTCCGCACCTGGAGAGCTTACCGCCCCCTCCGCTGGGGTCTGTGCACACCAACCCTCCGAGGAGAGTCCATGCGCACGTCTCACAGGACGCTCCCCCCCGGATCACAGAGTGCCGCCCTCTGTGGCCCGGGCCGATGCCTCATAGGACCTCATGACAAGCTCGACTTCATACCTAGATAATCCGCCTTGCTTGTGGTTCGAGAGCCAGTTCCTCCTCTCCCCATTTTTCCAGGTGATCCTCCGCACCTGGAAAGCTCCCCGCCCCCTCCGCTGGGGTCTGTGCACACCAACCCTCCGAAGAGAGTCCATGCGCACGTCTCACGGGATGCTCCCCCCTGGATCACAGAGTGCCACCCTCCGTGTTCCGGGCCGGTGCCTCATAGGATCTCATGACAAGCTTAGACTTCATACCTAGGTAATCCGCCTTGCTTGTGGTTCGAGAGCCAGTTCCTCCTCTCCCCATTTTCCCAGGTGATCCTCCGCACCTGGAGAGCTCCCCGCCCCCTCCGCTGGGGCCTGTGCGCACCAACCCTCCGAAGAGAGTCCATGCGCACGTCTCACGGGACGCTCCCCCCCGGATCACAGAGTGCCGCCCTCCGTGGCCCGGGCCGGTGCCTCATAGGACCTCATGACAAGCTTAGACTTCATACCTAGGTAATCCGCCTTGCTTGTGGTTTGAGGGCCAGTTCTCCTCTCCCCGAATTATTACTACGGAAAGGCCTCGGATTACCTTGGCTTACCGACTTTTCAAGCAACCGTCCTACCCAAAGATTAGTGAGAAGAGGTGAAAAGCCACTTCCCCCTAACCTTCTTAGGCTAACCACCTGGATTACGTTGGCTTACCGTCGTTTGGCGCAACCGAGTGACCCTTGCAAAGGTTCGGGGAGAGGTGGAGCACCCCTTCCCCCGGATTCTCTTAGGCCAACCACCCGGATTACGCTGGCTTACCGTCGTTTGGAGCAATCGATTCCCAGATGCCAGGGGTTGGGGAGAGGTGGAGCACCCCTCCCGCCCAGTATTCTTAGGCCAATGACCTGGATTACGTTGGCTTACCGTCGTTTGGGGCAATCGATTTCCCCGTGGCAAGGGTTGGGGAGAGGTAGAGCACTCCTCCCCTCCGTTGTTCTTAGGCCAGTGACCCGGATTACGTTGGCTTACCGTCGTTTGGGGCAATCTATGCCCACATGCCAAGGGTTGGGGAAAGATAGAGCACCCCTCCCCTCCGGTATTCTTAGGCCAATGACCCGGATTACGTTGGGTTACCGTCATTTGAGGCAACCGTATGACCCATGCCAGGGGTCGGGGAGAGGTAGAGCACCCCTCCCCTGCAGTATTCTTAGGAAAACCACCTCGATTACGTTGGCTTACCGTCGTTTGGGGCAATCGGTTCCACCATGCCAGGGGTTGGGGAGAGGTAAGGAGCCCCTCCCCTCCGGCATTCTTAGGCCAATGACCTGGATTACGTTGGCTTACCGTCGTTTGGGGCAACCGGATGCCCCGAGCCAAGGGTTGGGGAGAGGTGGAGCACCCCTCCCCTCCTGTATTCTTAGGCCAATGACCCCGATTACGTTGGGTTACCATCGTTTGGGGCAATCGGATGGCCCATGCCAAGGGTTGGGGAGAGGTGGAGCACCCCTCCCCCCCCCCGTATTCTTAGGCCAATGACCTGGATTACGTTGGGTTACCGTCGTTTGGGGCAATCGGATGGCCCGTGCCAAGGGTTGGGGAGAGGTGGAGCACCCCTCCCCCCCCCCGTATTCTTAGGCCAATGACCTGGATTACGTTGGGTTACCGTCGTTTGGGGCAATCCGATGGCCCGTGCCAAGGGTTGGGGAGAGGTGGAGCACCCCTCCCCCCCCCCGTATTCTTAGGCCAATGACCTGGATTACGTTGGGTTACCGTCGTTTGGGGCAATCGGATGGCCCATGCCAAGGGTTGGGGAGAGGTGGAGCACCCCTCCCCCCCCCCGTATTCTTAGGCCAATGACCTGGATTACGTTGGGTTACCGTCGTTTGGGGCAATCCGATGGCCCGTGCCAAGGGTTGGGGAGAGGTAGAGCACCCCTTCCCCCCCCGTATTCTTAGGCCAATGACCTGGATTACGTTGGGTTACCGTCGTTTGGGGCAATCCGATGGCCCGTGCCAAGGGTTGGGGAGAGGTAGAGCACCCCTTCCCTCCTGTATTCCTAGGCCAATGACCTGGATTACGTTGGGTTACCGTCGTTTGGGGCAATCAAGTCCCCGGAACCCAAGTGATGGAATCCATCCGGATCGGACCCCGGATGGGTTTGATCGAACCCATTCGGATGGAACCCATCCGGATCTGGATCGATCGAACCCATTCGGATCCGAGTCGATCGAACCCATCCTTATCGAGCCGATCCGGATCCGGATCGATCGAACCCGTGTGGATCAAACCCATCCGGATCTGGATCAATTGAACCCATCCGGATCCGGATCGATCGAACCCATCCGGATCCGAGTCGATCGAACCCATTCGGATAGAACCCATCCCTATCGAGCCCATCCGGATCCGAGTCGATCGAACCCATTCGGATCGAACCCACCCGGGTCCGGATCGATCGAATCCGTCCGGATCCGGATCAAATGAACCCTTTCGGACCCAAGCCCATCCGGATCCGGATCGATCGAACCCATCCGGATCCGAGCCGATCGAACCCATCCGGATCCGAGTCGATCGAACCCATCCGGATCCGGATCGATCGAACCCATCC